CACGTACTCCCGCAGGTCCACCTTGCCGCTGCCGCCCTGTGGGAGAGAGCACTCAGAGATGGCCACCGCCTGCACGTGGGAGAGGCCAGTGTGTCCAATGGCCCCTGGGGGTGCTGTGAAAGGGCCGAGTCCAGGTGCGCCAGGTGATATCTGCCCATGTGAAAGGGGCATCTCGGAAGAGCTTGCACAGCTAGCGGGGTTCCCAAGGTCACTGAGCCATGGACACCTGGGCAGGACAACAAGTTGCCAGAGCTCATGAGGCCGCCACATGGGAGGCTGTTGTGTCAGAGGCCTTCACACGAGGCTGTTGTAGGGAGGGCTGTTGCTCGGGGAGGCCGGCACGCAAGGCTTCTCGTCCAAGCACACATGCAGGAACAGCAGTGCCAGCCAAGACCTGCAGTCAGGAAGGAAACCGGCCCCCCCAGGCTGCTGGGCTCTGAGGACTGCCGTCATGGCAACACAGTGAGCCTTCAGGACAGCGCGCCAGAGCCAGGTGAGCGTGGATGCCCAGTAAGGCTGGCCATGGTGACCGTCTGCTCCACGCTGGCTGTCCTCGGGCACATTCCAGTCCCCACAGGATGGGTGCAGGGAGGACACATGCAGGGTGACGGAGACTCTGATGGCAGTGGGGATGGTGTGGGTGTGGTGCAGGTGTGCCTGGGCACGGAAAGAGGCCCTCCGGTCAGCATGGAGGAGAAGAGGGCACTCAGGGACAGAGGGAGGACTCCCTGCCCAGAGAGAGAAGGGGTGTGGGGCATCAGGGACAGAGGTAGGGCTCTGATGCAGCGGTGCCCTCTACCCTGAGTCAGCCGCAGACCTGGCCCTGGGGCCTTCCGGGGGACAGTGGCCTCTGCACTGACCTGCCTTCTAGGCTTTGCGAACAGGCAGAGCTCTGGGGACAGAGCTCAGGCACGAGGTGGGAGAGCCACGTCAGACCCAGGGACTGGGCCCCCGGCCAGGGAGGGGACTCGGCCTCAGGGACTGAGGGCCTATGTGTGACGGGAGGAGTGTTTCCACTGGTAAGCTTGGCAGGGACTCCCTGTGGCAGAACACGAACAACCACACACTCTGCCACAAGTCACCCAGACGGTGACATGCGGGACCGACACGTACGTTCTGGGTGCCAACTGCACGCTGCAAGGCCCAGGAGGAATCGTGCTGTGGCTGTGCGCACAACAGTGGAAACTGCACGGGGCATGGCACAGTCGCCTTTCTATGGGGGCCTGCTTCCTGAGGGTGCGCCTGGGGGGACACGGAAGAACATGCTGAATGACGCGCGTGATGCCTCGGGAGCGGAGCGAAAGATCCCGGCAACTGATACCATCCACAAACCCATGGCATGTCCTTACATGCCCATGTCACTCACTGCTCCATGTTCTACCAAAGGCCACGCTATGGCTGCTGCTTGGTTCAGAGAACATGCTATGTGTTCGCACAGAACACATGTGTTTTCACACAGGATGTGATGTGCAGCAGAGAACATGCCGTGCCTATACAGAATACGCCATTATTCACACAGGACTCGCAATGTAGGCTGGCCCCGGGCACCACCTCACACCTTTCCAGCCCCAGGCTGCCTGCATGTTGAGAGCCCAGCATGGTCGCCGCTCCCTCTGGTCACAGCGCAACCTGAGGGTGGCACGCAGCGGGGAGCGAGCTGCCTCCGGGAGGATCCCCTCACAGCAGGGCCCTGAGCAGCTCACAGGACCCCAAGGACTGGGCGCATCAGAGACCTGGCGAAGGAGAGCTCCCTGGTGGACTGGGGGCAGGGTCCCTCGGAGAACAGAGGCCAGGCCTCGCCCCTGGGCACCTCCAGGCCTCTGGGAAATCACTAAGTCCCAAACTGTAGGCACGCTTATCAGCCCAGGCTCCATTTAAAGTCAAACATCTGCAGGCGTTTAAAGGTGCAAGAGGGGCCGGGCACAGTGGCTCAGCCTTTAATCTCAGCACTTTGAGAGTCTGAGGCAAGGGGATTGCCTGAGCTTGGGGGTTCGAGACCAGCCCGGGCAAGTTGGTGAGGCCTCGTCTCTACAATAAATAAAAAAATAAGCTGGGTATGGTAGTGCACGCCTGTGGTTCCAGCTACTTGGAAGGTGAGGCAGAAGGATCACTAAGTCGTGCAGGGTGAGGCTGCAGTGGTTGTGAGCGTGCCACTGCACTCCAGCCTGGGCGACAGAGTGAGACTCCAACTCAAAAAAATAAGTAAATAAAATAAAGGCGCAGGAGGAAGCTCCCAAGATGATGACTGGATGACGGGGTGGGCCCCCACTTCCAAGACCGCTACAGCATGACTCTTATCATGCCGAGAACAGCTCATACTGTGAAGAGTCCAAGGCTCTGGCACCCAGTGCCCCAGTGGTCTCACCTCGTCAAATAGCGAGAACATGTCCTCCAGGGCATCCGACACGGGCACCTCCAGGTAGGCCGCGAACTCCGACACGCCGACCTTCCCTCCCCGCCGCAGCCTCGCACTCTCAGCAAACCCATCCAGGTCCTGTTCAAGCTTCTCGGGCTTCAGCCTGGGCAAAAAAATAAAAATAAAAAAAATAAATTGCAGCATGCTGACCCTAGGAGACATGCATCTCGAGACCATTGGCATGCTGAAATCATTCATGCCGACAGTGGTGAGTCTCCCAGGAAAGGCGTTCTGGGGATCTGAGGGTGCCCGGTGCCCCTCAGGTCTGCAGACACCCCCCTGGCAGGCAGGACACGGGCAGCCCTCCTGGGTGGGCTTGTGCTGAGACGGCTGATGCAGGCATTAAGGGCTTTTGAGACACTTCTGTGAGGACTGAAGTTGACATTTGAAAAAACAAAATGAAACCCAGAGTAAGCATTAGGAAGCATGACTTCTGCACCTGCCAGTCCTGGACCCCACACAGCCCCCTGGGGACCTGGTGGCCAACCCTGTGAGTGCAAGAATGACCAGGGGCTCACCCGAGGCCCCGCACGAGCCTGGCGAACTCGAGAAGGCAAGTGTCAGCGGGGAGACGGAGCTGGCCTTCCGCCAGGGCCAGCTGGCAGTCCTCAAATGTGTAGTCGGTCACAGAGATGCCCAGGGCCCTGCAAGAGGGGGCAGAACACCCCGTCAGCCTGCTCCATGGTGGCATGTCCCGCAGTCCCCTCGGAGTAAATGCCGACGGCTGTGTTCCTAGCATGTGGCCACTGTACAGAGTGACCTGCTGACACTGCCCTGCCCGGAGCACGGGGACCCACATGGCAGGAGGAAGTGAGAGCATCCCTGTCTTCCCAGCGTGCACAAGTCACGTGAGCAGCACACGTTATCTTAAATGCTAACACAAAATTCACAGATCCCACATGCCTGGGAGACAGAAGAAATCGGCCTGCGTCACATGGGCAGGTGAGTCAAGTGGATGCACCACTCAGACCTTGGGTCTGCCCAGGCTGGAGTTCTCGCCAGACCATCCAGGGGCACAGGGACACAGCTGTGGGTGACTGAGGTCGATGGGCACGTTTGGAACTCGAGAAAGGACGAAGCGGGCGGCCACCTTCCAAACTGAACAGGCAGGAATACTGTCAGGTAAATACAGGAGGTGGAGGCCGGGGCCATGGAGGCATGGGGCCACAGTCTTGGCCAGGCGCACGGGACTTGCTCGCACGCCTCTGCAGAGTGATGTTCCCGGGCCCTCAGTACTTCATGTTTACACCCACAGCACACGAGTCACCCGCCTGACGGAGGAGGAAGCCACTCACTCGGCCATGACACGGCGCACATTGCTGGCGTACAGCGAGGGGTTCCGCTTCTCCTCCTCGGAAGGGCTGTACACGGGAAGGAACTGAGCAACAGAGAGGCTGTGTTATGTCATGAGTTTCACGAGACACCGAGCCCGCCAGCCACCCCGATGTCAGCCAAGTCTGACAAAATCAAGACCTGTCGAAGCAGCACCCCTTAGAAACGTCTAGAGGTTGCCACATGTACACACTTGCGCTGCATACACATGTGCCTGAAAACCCCAGCCCAGCATGCCCCGAGGAGCGCCCGCGTCAGGGCGTCTGGCTCTGGTCCCCACACTTCCAGTCTCTTGGGACCCTGGTCCCCAGTTCGGGAGAGGCACGCGTCTGCCTCTCTACCATCTGCTCTGTGTGTGGAAGGCACGATGGCTCTATTCTGCATTTGAAGCAGACTGCGAGTGGCTTTTTGATGCCGGCTGAATTCTGAAATGACGAGGAATTGCCATGAACACACCTGACCAAAGGGAGGCTCACGTGCTGTTTAAACAAATACGACCTGTGAGTGGCCGCCAGCCCCGTTGAGCAGGAGAAGGCCAAGATGGCAGTGGTTCCCCTTGCCTTTATTACAGAGATTTAGGTACACAGGGCCGCCTGGGACCCCAGTCATCCTCACTGACAACCTCATTTGTCACTCGCTGCTGCACGTGTAAGAATCTGCTACCGGCAGCGCTTCCCCGCCGGCGTCTCGTGTACTCAGAGGGACTCTGCAAGGCCACCGACTTCTTTCCAACTTCTCGGGTGGGACACAGAGGAGGCTCAGAAAAAGCACCCTAAGCGTGCGAGCCCGTATCCTTGGCTCTATCCCGAGGACTGGCCTGTGCCCTCCTGGCCCTGCAGAACGGGCCATGGAGAATACCTAAGGCTGCAGGGACTGCCATCCCCAGGCTGGGCCAAGGTATCTCTGGCTCATCCTCACAGTGACAGTGGCTCATTTCTGTGAGAGGGACTGGCCTGGTGGGAGTTGGCCTCTGACACCTAGCATTCTGTGCAGTATTACTGGATGGGACACGTCCTTTCATTACACTTAGCATGCAATTCATCTTTCACTTTCAGGTGCAAAACTTCTTTTTAAGAAAGGAAACTATTCCTCTGACTCAGATAAAGTTTTACAGGCTTCACATAGGTGACTGTGTTTCATTTAGCCAAGAGGATGATATCATGACTCTTGAGACATTGGGGGGAGAGAACTAGGAGGCTGGGGACACTGTCTGGCCAAGTATGACACAGAGGGTGGTGGGATGGCAAACTTCGCAGTATTCATATCAGATAAAATTAAAAGCCAAAAGAATAATTCATTGCTCATGGACCCACTGAATATGCCCTTAAGCTATAGCCATTATAATGAAAGAATGATAGGTTTAGCTTCCTTGTTGGTCAAGACAGTCCCATTCGAACGGTGTAAAACCATACAGGAGACACAAAGTCACTGCTGCAAAGTGACCTGGAAGCTGCTCTTGGGAGCCCCAGGAATGAGGGCTAGGATCGATGACACATGACATGGTGTCACGTTGTATCCAAACAGATCCCAGCGTAACACTGTATCTGCACAGCCACAACAAAACACTGCGGCAACAGAGCCTGATGTAACACTGTATAACGATGTATCCACACCGACCTCAATCTCCACTTGGTTGTGAAACTGACACAGCGTGAGCCACAGGATTTCCAACCTTAAAAACAACACAAGGAATAAATTTTCAACGCTGGCTGCAGAGGAAGATTCTTAATTCCTGTTGGCTACGTTCCTTCCACTTCTGGAGAAAAACCTCTGGTCTCACTCCCCTCTAGAGGGGCAGCTGACATCCCTGCAGGAGGCGTGTGGTCTTTCTCAGCCAGATCTAAATGGGCTCCCTTCTTATCAAACACCTGCCTGCGCCCTCATCCCCGTCTTCCCTCCAGCCCAGGTGACCTCGTTCCACTGACACTTGTCCCTCCACACGTCCCCAGGCAGCACAGGCCCCAAGTCCTGCCATCCCCAAACCTGGCCCTGGGGTTCCAACCTCAGAGCTGGTGAAAGCAGGGGGCCATCAGAGTCCCCATCCACGGGCCCACGCTCCCACCCTGACAGACAGTCCACCTCCTGTCTCTGCCCCGCGATGCCAGCCCCAGGCCCAGGCCACAGGGACTCCAGAGCCCCCACCCAACCCTGCTCCCAGCGTGTACCTCATCACTCCCCCTACCGCTGGGAGCGCTGACATCTCACACTGCCACCCCCACACACCAGTGGCCCCACTTTCCTGAAAGCCCTGAGCTCCCCGCCAAAGGCCCTCAGATCTGACCTGCCCCCACCCGTCTACCCTCCAGACATCGGTGCCCTCAAGGCCCTGACCACCAGGCACTGTGCTTTCCCTTTGCAGCCGATTGCTGCACCACAGGTCTTTCGCGTCTGTCCCAGGGACAGGGACGCTGTCCACCCCAGGGATGGGCCTCCTTGCCTGCCCTGACACTCCCTACTCCCCATTTTCATCACCAGGGTCCCAGGTAGATGGGGGTCACCATGGAGCTGACAAAGAAGGGATGGAGACAGGGACCCACGGTTGCCTCCCACGGTGTCAGGACCACGAGCTCCTGTCCCCAGGGCCAGGAGTGTAGGAATGGGCGTGTCGGACACTTATTTTCCCAGCAGCCGCGTCCGACTGTGGTCAAACAGCCACACTCACACTTGCCAAGCATGGGAGCCCCCGTGGTCCCCGAGAGCCCCACACACGCATGAACAACAAGACAGATGGGACAGCATGGCATTTCACTTACGCTCCGGGTCCCTGCCATGTCCATGTGATGGTGTCCTGGGGAGGAAAGGGGCAGAGTGGTCAGGGTGGGGCCAGGGCCCACCTGCGCCCACCTGACCCTGCCCAACCCAGGGTGATGGGGCAGGGGAGGTGAAGGGGCTGCAGCCAGGTCTCCTGGGCTGCAAGGACACAGAGTCCCACATTCCCCTCTCTCCTCATGGCTCTGCGGGCACAATTCTGCTGCCTGTCTGAGATATGCCTCTTTCCCTGTCTCCCTCCCCCAGAGAACTCTGGGCCGCCCCCCACCATGTCTCCAGGGCCGGTCCCCACCTAGTCACCAGGCTGTCTCCCATCTCGTGTCCAGGACCCTCCCTTACCTCATCCCCACCCTGTGCCCAGGGCTACACCCGGACATGCAACCAGGACAGCCCCCCGCCATGTGCCCAGGGTCATCCACCACCTCATCTCCAGGGCCACCCCACCTCACGCCCAGGACTGCCTCAGGTGTTTCAGAAGCTCCATCCTCAGCCTCCACACCAGCAGGTGGGGACACCAGATGGCACAGGCCTGTTGTTGTCCCAGGACTGTCCCTCCCACGGGGACACTCTGCTTCACTAAGCCAAGTGCTTCTGGGAAGTCCAGTAAAGGCCCGATGGGTCAAACAAGTTGAAGAAACAAGCTCAAAAAATTAAACATCTAGGCTGGGTGTAGTGGTTCATGCCCATAAGCCCAGTGCCTGGGGAGGCCAAGGCAGGAGGACTGCTTGATGCCAGGAGCTCAAGACCAGTTGGGGCAACATAGCAAGACCTAGTCTCCACAAAAAGAAAACTGAGATCTCTACACAGAGATCCAGATTCTCTTCCTCTGGGACTGGCTCTTTTGCTCACAGGAGCTGCACTGGCTGTGGTTTCTGTTGGAGGCAGGAGGGCCCTTGGCCGGGAGCTGGCAAGGAATGGACTTGTCTCTGTCACATGCGGTGAAGTGACTGTCATCAGTTCTTGCAGCCACCAGCACCAACTGACATTTCATATGTCTACGGAGCTGACTGCCCAGATGGCCTCTGCACCATCCTCCACCCTCCACAGCAAGCCCACAGGCATGGGGTCTGTGTGCAGAGCTGCGCATCGGCCAGGCCCTGGAGTGGGGACTGGAAGCCCTCTCGCTGAGGTCGCCTGTTTCTGCCACGTTTCTATGCGTGACCTGTGAGCTTTTTCCTTCAGCAGAGCTTCTTCTGATGCCAAAAAACACCCTGCTGTGGAAAAGCCCGTCTCTAATAAACTTGCCTCCCCGTGTTCCTCCAGTCATGCCCAGCTGGGTGGGGCCATGGGGCCTCGCTACTGTGTGGACTGTCCTCTGCCCACTGCCAATGAGGATGCTCACTGAAGGGCTCATGGAAGGGAGGTGCTGCCGCCCTGACTGCACCCAGGGGGTTTGGCGCGGGCCTGGGAGGTGAGGCCGCCCAAGGGTGTGGATGGCACTGTCATGCCCAGAACATACAGGGCAGCTGGGGAGGGCGCAGCGATGCCAACTGATGGGTGTGGAAAAGGAGGTGGGGGTGGGCTGGCCTGCATCGCCTGGGGCCTTCTCTGGGACCCAAGGCCACCTCAGGAGCTCCGAGCCCCTGATGCCCATTTCATTCGTTCTCTTAAAGTGAACCAGGCCTGTGTGTGCGACGGAGGCATGGCAAAGGTTGGGTAAGCACAGAGGCCATTCCCCTTCTTGGCAGCCTCCAGCCTCCCAGAACCAAAATGTTCTTGGCTGAAATAGCCTGGAGAGTGAGCTGGGCATCGGGAGGTGGGAGGACGGGGTGGGGGTGTCCCCTGAATGTCAGGGCACTCACACAGGGAAAGGCTGCTGCTTTAAGACCTGGGAAAGTGGACTCCGTGTGAACTGCAAGGGGGGCCGGAAATGCACGACACGGCCCACTTGGGAACATGCCACCCCAAGCCCGGGGGCTGGGCCCCATCTGTCCCTTTCGGGGCCGTGGCAGGCCCCGGACTTGGCAGGTCCCTGGGAGCCACTCTGTCCATGTTGTGGTTGGGCGATCGGCGCAGGGAGACGGACACAGGCATAGAAACAGCCCGCATGTCTACGCCAGTTGGTGTGGATCCCAGAAACCACCACTCACCAGTTTGTTGGGATATCGTAAAACCACAGGCTGGACGGGAACTCCAGGGATGAATGCTCCTGCCAGAAAAGGAGGCGTGCGTCACTGGCAGCAGCAGGCCAGCGCAGGGTCTCCGCCAGCGCTCTGGGGTGCGGCGTACTCTCCTGCCCTGGGCTCACGGTGGAGGCGGCATCTCCAGCTCCCCAGGAATGCTGGGAGTCACTCCTGCCTCCTCAGGCCATAGCTAAGATGCTCGGCTCAAACCCCGAAAGGCATCTTGTGACTCAGGAATGCCTCTAAGAACCTCGGCTCGGCTCGCAAGAGAGAAGCACGCGTGTATCACTGACATGGATGGTATCTAACCATCATGTTTAACTTTTTCCTTCTTGAGGAGGAAAATAAACAAGAGGACTACATACCCGGTTTGAAGGTGATTAAGCAGGTCCTGTTTGTACAAGTTCCTTCCGGAAAAATCATTATCTTGAAGTGGAAGGGAAAAAAAGGTGAGTGTTAAACGAGGAGAGCCGTGAGTGGGAGCCCACGGTGCCCATCTCCAGGCGTGCTCGTGGCCTGCAGGCTCAACCTAGATATTTAGCCGCATGCAACTGAGAGACGTAACATGCACTGGGGCGCACACATGATTCCACACCCTCTCAGCACCCGAGAGTCCAGCAGGCTTTCCAGCTTCGAATGTCAGCGCAGGCAAAAAGGAAGAAACATGGAGTGTGGGCCAGACACACGCTCTGAGCAGACGTGGCTGGGTGTGCACTGTGGTGGGGACCAGCACCCGGGCTGGGAGCTCACCCCAGCACTTCAGAAGTGGGCCATGTGCCTCTGCCACACGCTGACCCACAGGTGCTCTTTGACCCAAATTGGAACTTCTTTTCTTTTTATTCCCCATGCATGGTGGCTCATGCCTGCAATCCCAGCACTTTGGGAGGTGGAATTTATTTTCAAAAAAGGTGATTCAGGCCAGGCGTGGTGACTCACAGCTGTAATCCCAGCACTTTAGGAGGCTGAGGCAGCAGGAGTGCCTGAGCCCAGGGGTTCGAGACCAGCCCGGTCAACATGATGAGACACTGTCTCAGATAACTAACTAACTAAACAAACAGACAAACAAACAAAGTTTTAGAAAAAGGTGATTCGGGAAATTGAGAGGCATTTGGGGATTGTTCTCCTCGTTTCGACTCTGGCACCCAAACCCGATGCACCTGATGGCAGCACACTCCAGGACGCCCATTCACCAAGGTGAGTTCTGTCCCATTTCCTCGCTCCCCCTCCCAGAGTTCCAGTCTTTGGACTAAGCCCCAACACAAGCATGACCGTTACCTGTGGCCACTTGCCGTTGGACTGCGCTCGCCTCTTGATTTCCTCCACGGTTTTTCTGCGAGAGTCCTGGTCTGACCGGGACACAAACACTGGCCGGATGTACCGGATCAGGGCTGGAAGAGAGGGGCACAGCATGCTGGGGGGCATGGCTCCACTACAGGGGCCCCTGGGACGTCCCTTGGCCCTACCTGTGAGGGAACGGGAGTGACCTGATCTCCTGCGAAGCCCATGTGACAGAGGAGGCCCTGCAGCTCGCAGGACCAGAACAGAAGATGGCAACCACAGCCCGGGAATCAGGACACCGGGCATGCCTGGGGGCGGCCTGCCAGGAGGGAGCGGGTCGCTGCTCCCTGTGCTTAGGGGTGGGAGGACAGTCAGAGGACCTGACCCCATACAGGGTGGGCCATACCCTGAGAGCCCAGCTGAGCCCGACTCCCGGCACCTGTGAGTGGGACCGCACTCGGAAGCAGGGTCCTGCAGACGACCAGGGTGAGAGGAGGTGCCCACCCGATGCCAGGGGACCTTCTACGAGGAGGAGGAGACAGGGATGGGGAGAGTCGGCCCTGCGATGACAGAGGCTGAGTAGAGCTGTGTGGAGCTGCCAAGAGGTGCTGGGACTGCCCACCACCGCTGGGGCTGGGTCGCACAGGCCTCACGCGAGTCCCACACGCGGGTGCCTGATCTGAGAGAGGAGCTTCCTGTCATGTTGAGCCGCTGGACGGCGGTCCCAGTTCTAACCACCACACCACAAGGCCTCCCAGCAGGGGTCACGGGTGTCCAGGAAACCTGCCCCGCCGTGAAGGGTGGCACTCGGTCAGCCAAGGTGTCAGCCATGACCAAAGCCTCCGTCCCTTGGCAGGAGGGTTTAAAAATAGAAAGAGGCTTCTTAGAAAACTCTGATCAGACCCTGCGGTGAAACCATCCCCAGATAGAGCTTCCTCTCTGAGAAAAGACAGGGCAGAGGCCACGGCTAAGGCCACCCGAGGGGGTGTCATGACTTCGCCACGGGTGCCCAGGCCGGAATTCAGCTCTTCGTTGTTCTCTTTTCTTCTCTTCTGAGTTGAGGTGTCACTCTGCTGCTCAGGCTGGAGTACAGTGGCACGATCGTGACTCACTGCAGCCTCGACCTCCCAGGCCCAGGTCATCCTCCCGCCCCAGTAGCTGGGACTACAGTGTGCACCACCACCCAGCCCAGTGAATATTTTAGATTGCTTTAGAGATGAGGTCTCATCATGTGGCCCGGGTTGGTCTTGAGCTCCTGGGCTCAAGCGATCCTCCTGCCTCAGCTCCCCAGAGTTCTGGGATTATAGGCATGATGCACTGAGCCCAGTCCCAGCCTTTCTTACAGAATAGTACTTTGTGATTTTATTCTTTCTGGAGGTCTTCCAAAGAGCAGAGAGAAAATTAAAGTAAATGAAGAGGTTGAAGAAGATTCCTTCTTTCCGCGATTGCCCGTGAGGGCCACGGGACCCTTTGGTAAAATCAGACACACGTGGATCTCAGCAGCCTCGCTTTTCTTACGTCTTGAATCATGTTGTCACTTCACCATTCTAGGAACCACTTCCCCCGACTCCTCGGTGACTTGTGACTCTGCTTAAAGTGATGAAATGGGAAGGAAGGGGAAGCACGGACTTGCCTAGGACGATGGCAGGCCGAGCAAGGGACCCGGCTGGGGGGCTCGTCTTCATCCCACGGTCCTCACAAAGGCACATGGGGTCTTTTCAGCTGGCCATTTCCCTGGACAGAGTTGAGATTTCAGGAGCTCTCCTTTTCTGCCCACAATGACAAGGGAACCACGCTGGCACAGAGGCCGCCACAGTTCTCAGTGGGCTCCGGGGTGGCAGAGGCAGACAATGGACACCGAGTGTCTGAGCGACGCCTCCAGTTGCAGTCTCTGCCCCAAGTCATTCAGGGCACAAAGCGGAGGCATCGCCGGCCCTGAACTTCGCCCTTGGGCCGGCCTGCAGCCCTCTCGAGGCCCCACCGCCCCACACACCCCTCGGCACACGTGGCTTCACAAGCAACGTCCTTCAGCAGGTGAATAAGCAAGGGGCTTCTGCATGGGGGGCAACATGGTCTCCCCCAGGGACCACAGCCGGGGATAGGGTGGGGCTGGTGACCAGAGCCAGATGCTGGGAGACCAGAGGACGTGCATGCCAGGGACAGGACTGCACGACCACACCTCTGTCCAGCCTCCGGCAGGCTGCCTCGGTCTCCCCACTCACTCCTGGGGGGTTTCACCCTCTCATTCCCGGCGATCTTACTCTCTCACTCCCGCGGGGGGGTCTCACCCTCTCACTCCCAGGGGCGCCTCACTCCCCTGGGTCTCCCTCACTCACTCACTCACTCCCCACTCATTCCTGGGAGGGCCTCACTCCCCACTCACTCCCGGGGACGTCACTCACTCCTCCACTCACTCTGGAAGGTGTGACACTCACTTCCCCAGATTGGGATGTCCCTGCTCTCCGCCTTCATCACGATGGAGGACATCGTCATGGTGACGGGGATGGCGTCAAAGTAGGACGAGTGTGGCGCCAGCGTGAGGATGGCTGCCTCGGTGGGTAGCGCCCGCCGCCCCTTCACGGCCACGCGGTGGAACCCGCCCGCGAACCACATGGTGCGCATGATGGCCTTGAGCAGGAAGTCCACGGCCCTGCAAGAGAAGCGCGTGGAAGAGGTGAAACAAAAAAAACAGCAGAAGCACTAAAAGGCATCAAAATGGATGGGTTCAAAAACTGCTTGGAGTCATGGAAAAAAGAGTCTCGATAGGTGCATTGCATCCAACGGAGAGGACTTTGAAGATGACTGAAATTTAGACATGTAGGAATAAATACACACTTTTTTATGAATAAAATTCCAGGATTTTTTGGGCCCCCTTGCATACACATACAAGTACACACATGCATACACACTCCTTCACACACATGTACACATGCAAACATGCTCTTACACACATGCACACTCCTAGGGTCACACACATGCTCACAATGTGCACTCACAAACGTGTGCACACATACACATGTAGACACTCTCCCATACACGTGTGCACACACTCTTACATGTACACACACATACACATAGGGGCACAGACTCTCACACACACACACACACAGAATGATACACAGTCTCTCTGCAGACCCAGATGCCTACAGTTCTCACAAGCCTGAGAAGCCCCAGTGTCTCCCTGTCATGGGACAATCTGCACACGTGTGTGATATACACACAGATGCATGTCTGAAGTGGGGCTGTAGGAATGACAGTCACTGTGGCCCATATGTGAAGTCATGTGAATTATTCACAGACAAGAAAAGCCATCGGAGGAGTATGGGGAAGACATGTCATGGCTGAATCTATGATTCTGAAGGCCAGAGTAGGCCCATGTTGTGGAGAGAAGAGGGAGGGCATGCACAGCGTGAGTCCGGGAGGAGGCACGCCATCAAGCGAGGGTTGGGCGTCACCCGGCCCCGCCACCAAGAACCCAACAGGGTGGCATCACCGCGTCTGCTTAGGCCACAGCACCTCTGCTCCCAGCCGGGGTTCGAGTCGGACTTGCCGGGATTTATCTGGCTTCATTTCAGATTTAATGCCAAATTCTTACATTATAGTTAAGATGTTTTGAAAGCAAACCTCAAGAACAATGTGTGTTCTTCAGAGACTCTAGAAAACCTAGAGAAACAAAGATCCCACAGCCAGCAAAGATCTCTGCCCTTAAAAGCCCAGGTAGTCTTGGGAGTCACCATGGCCGGGCAGCTTGAGGTCCACCCGGGAAGGCCCAATGTGAGACCCACACCTGGCTGACCCCATACCCACTGTCCTCATGCCTGGCCAGCCCCACACCCAACTGACCCCTGGCCCTCCTGTCACCCTATCCATGTCCCTCCCACCATCCCTGCACCTACCATCTCTGCACCCTACCTGCCCCCATGCCCAGCCACCCCTACACCCCCGTTCCCATGCCAACCCTATCCCACACCCCTGTCCTCATGCCTCCTTGCCTGCCTGCAACAGCCCAGCAGCCCCAGAGCCCCGAGTGGCCTCTCCCCGTGTGTCCTGGTGTGCAGGGGGGAACCCAGTCTCACAGCAGACATGGCTCTCGTGAGCCACCCCGTGGCACCAACACTCCCAAATGTGAAGCCACATGCCAGATCTTTCCAGAAGAAGAGGCCCAGCAAGTCCCCTGAACCATGGAGGGTCAGGAGGGCAATGTGGCGGGCTCCACAGGCCACAAGGCCTCCGTCCCAGCCACGCAACCCCCTCCACAAAGGCAGCCCTGAGAGTCACGCTCGGGTGCGGCCAGGTCCCAAGACCTCATTTTCAGGTGCAGGCGGTACAGGCTGTGGCCTGCCCGTCTTGCTGTGGATTCTTGCTCAACGACTCCCATTCCTGTCTCTGAACAGCCCACCCAGGAAGAGGCCGATACACTGGTGCTGTCAGGGGTGTGGCTCTGTGATGGGAGGGATAACTCTCAGGACACGGAAAACGCCGGTCACAATGTCAAAGCTATTTCAGCACTGCCATCTGCTAGTGACGTGGGCTGACAGTAAGTCCAGCCTTAGGCATCAGCCGAAACTGGGAGACACTGTGATATCCCTTAATTCTGCAGCTCATGCGGAATCTTCCATGTGACGTGTCCATGGCTCATCCCATCTACAGGGAGATGTGGTTTAGTTACATTCAATGCTTAGCATGGAACAGTGTTGGTCTGTGAAGCGAGGCAGAGGTATGACCCTGCAGAGACAGTGCTAGCGGGTGGCCAGCAGGGCAGGTGGTGGCCGACCTGAGTGTCCTACCCCAGGCAGAGCCGAGCCTAGCTCACTGATCGCTGCCTGGGTGGAGTGGGCTGGCCGGCCAGATCGCCTGCTTTTCCAAGACTGGCCAAGCAAGGATCTGGATGTCAGTCACTGGACTTCCATGGTGTGGCCACCTGTTCCCACTGAGCCCACTCTCAGCAAGACCAGGTTGGCAGGATCTGCACAGACACCTGGAGATGGCCCTGCCCAGGCCACAGTGCCATGCCAGCTTCACCTGCCTCTGTGTGGGGGGCGCCAAGGGGGACTTCCTGAGGGGGGGCCTGTGCAGCTGTGGTGCCCGGTCCATGCAGTCCGAGGGCCCGTCCACTCACAGCCTGAGGGTCTGGGGAGCCCGTTGGCAAAGCCAGAGTCGAGGGTCTGAGGTGGGAGGGGCAGCAGAGCTGGACGGGTCCCTGAGCCAGGAGGGTTGAGAAGCTCTGACTCTGGTCAGCAACCAGGAGCCACAATGGGTTCTGGAGCAGAAGAGGCCACAGTGAGAGGAAACCTCCACGCTCAGGGATGTGGAAACTCTGGCCACGGGGCCCACAGCACTCCGAGGACAATGCCTCAAGCAGGACCGTGGTGGGGAGGGAGGAGGGAGGTGGGACAGCAGTGACTGCTGGGAGAGGATGGCCCGGGATGCTGGGCTTGGAAAGGGAGGATGGACAGCCCCAGGATACTGGGCTCAGAAGAGGACAGACAGGCCTGGGGCTGACGACTGCCTGAGGAGAGCCGGCCAACGGCTGTGTGACCTCTAACAGGTGCCAGCGCACGAACGACTTACTTCCGCCACAGGGCCAGGGGCTGCTCCGGTTCCTTCTCAGCTGAGCCCAGTGAGGCCACCAGTGCGAAGGGCCAGGCCAGCAGCATCATGAAGGCCGCCAGCAGAAGCCGGATGGGAAAGAGTGTCAGCGTCATGAAGGCCACCTGGGGACAGAGAAGGGCATCATCCGAGGCACGGTGGCAGGACACTGCACACTGCTCTCTGACCTCTGCACCCACAGTTCTCGGGGACCCCAGCCCAGGGAGATGTGCGTCCTGCAGAGTGGGGGCTGGGGGGTGCACAGTGACCAGGTTCACTGACACTGGCCCACGCTGACCCACAATGGCCCATGCTGACCCATGCTGGCCTATACCACTGATGCTGCCCCATGCTGACTCACAGTGACCAACACTGACCCACGCTGGCCCATGCTGACACGTGCTGACCTGTGGTGACCGACACTGAACCATGGACCCCCGCTGACATGAACTGATGCTGACCCATCTGCCTCCAGCCTGCTGCCCGCCTCTCCCTTCCAGAGCCACCCTGGGCGTCCTCTTGCAAACCCAAGGGCCACTCTGTCCTGTGGATGGCGCACCCCTCCCAGACAGCTCCCCAGGATGCAGTGTCTCGCTCAGCCTTGCTCCGTGCAGTCGTCCTGCCGTGTGAGACTGCCCCCAAAACCACGCCCGTGGACACCAGTGCTCCTGCGGCCCTGAGCCTTTTGTGGGGCGACAAGTGGCTGGTCTGGAGCTTGCAAGAGAAGCCCTCAGGCCACAGAGGCCCTATGGGAGAATGGGCTAGCAGGGGGACAGGAGCATGGGTTGGGGGTGCTCCATACGGCCCTCATGCCAGGCAGCATCCAGGCTCCCAGTTAGGATGGCCAGGGGCAGGCAGTCAGGGGCAGGCAGCTACCCCTTCCTACCCCTACCCAGGAAGGGGCAGCTACAAGGATGGGAGGGAGAGAAGGTAGACTGTGGGTGGGAGGACGGCTGAGTTGGGGTGTCATGGGGCAGAGACGGCAGCAAAACCCACATCCCAAGGTACAAGACAGAAGAGACGCTGCTGTGGCCAGTAGACCGGCACAGCCAGAGTGCTCCCCGCTGCCTGCATTCCCTTGGACTCTTCTGGGTTCACTGAGAACAGCATGGCCACAGGCACGCAATGCAGACACGCACAATATGAAACCTGCAAGCAGCCAGACGACAAAATGCTAAGGTGTGGCTAAATACCCAGTTTATCTTGCCCAAACATCTGAAATGCCATTCTAACACGTGCTGAAGACAGAAGTTGCTAATGAGATATTCTACACTTTCCCCAGTGTCCTAGACACCAACGTGTCACACCCCAGAACGCAACTCCCCTGCTCTCCACATTGTAAGTGCTCCATCATCAGGTGTGGTCAGCCTGTCAGATGTACCTATCTAGACAGAGTCTTGTTTGCAAATAACGGTGCTTTCTGTGTGTCTTCCTCCCCTCCAGGGCTGCCTGTCACCCCACTGAACACCCGCTACAACACGAGGTCCACTCAGTTGGGCAGTGACACCTGTTGTATGCTGCTGGTGATACTGTGTCCCTATGGAACATCTTGCTGTGGGTGGTCCATGGACGTTCGCTTCTGCTGAGAACACGCCTTCCCATGTCTCGCAATGACAGGTTGCTTTGCTTTAATCCTGAACGGTGTTGAGTTTTATCAAACACCTTTCCTGTCCCATGGGGACATCACAAGCTTATGTGGCCTGACCTGTTAACATGACATGCCACATCACGGTTTTTCCGACAAGAAGAGCTGGCTGGTGGTGCTGTGAAGCTGCCTGCTGTGACTTTTTAAAAGGAGACTCAAGGTCTGTGGTTGTCTGGGAAGGACCCACCGCCAGGTTTTATGGAAGCCTCACCCGTAACTTCGTCCGCTACCCGTCATCTTATGCAGGGACAGAGTGACACCTGCAAGTTGCTGTCCCAGGCACGTCCCTGCCAGCGCTTCAGTATTTCTTGTTTTTTTGTTGATGAGGAACTCCTTCCTGGAAGCACCAAGACCCTCCTTCCCACACCAAGTGTCTCCTCGAGTCTGTCTTTGAGTGGCTGAGTCAAGTGACCCTGCATTTGTATGCCATCGGTGGTGGGATCTACAGGCCCCCTCTCCGTGTCCCCTGGGCCCACCCAGCCTGTCGCCAGGCACATCTACTTCACGAAGCCATCTACAGACCAGCGGTGGGCTCCTTCTGTGTCATGATCACTGTAGCTCTGACCGGTTCCTGTCTCCTCTGAACTCACTCTAACATTCTTTATAACAACTCGAGGCAAAAGCCTCATCACTATCCTCAGAATGTGGCATCTCCCGAGACTCCTGCGGGAACACACTCTTCCTCTGGGCTCCACGTCTGCTCACCTACTGGTTTGGAGGGCAGCCTCCCCATTAGCGGGATGCCAGTGCTAGTTGTAAACATCGTGCCCTCTGAGTGGTCACTTGCTGTGGAGGGAGATGGGAAGGAGATGCACTGTCCCTCATCCTGAGATGCCATCGCCTCCACTGCGGTCTCCAGCCCTGCATGGCCCTGTGTGGGTGGCTGGTGTGGGCAGGCCCCCCAGTTCAAGGAGATGATCCTGACAGCCCATGATACTATCTTTGCTGGCCACATCCACGGCTGTGGTCTCCCCAGTTGATCAGAAGCTAAGAGACTGGTGGGCCATTTCCTGCTCCCTGTGAGTCATCCCTAAGCCGGGTCCCACGTTGGCAGGCATGAGGTGGTGGTGAGACCATCGACGGAGGAATCGCAGGAGACTTCTGGCTGCAGACAAGCCTCGCACCACATGTCTGTCCTGGAGCCACCAGGACCGTTTCCCCTATAACTAGTGGAGTAAGAGCAGTAGCCCCTTGTGTCCGGAAAGAACTCTGGGAACCTGGGAAGTGCTGAGGAGAGACAGGTGTGAAGCCCTGCCCAGTGCACCCAGGAGGTGGGACGGGATGCCAATGCTCAAATGGTGTGCTTAGTTAGCACACAGGGTTCACAACTGTACAGGAGGCAACACGTGTCCATATCTGAACCTCAGCCCAGGCATCTGGGGAACACGGTCCTGGCTTCCAGGTCTGCAGGAGAGGGGCTGGTGAACCATAATGACACATGCTGCCTTGCCAAGCAGAGCTGGCATGTGGGAGCACAGAGGCGAGTTGGGGATAGAGCTCTGGCCATGGAGAACGCTGTTCCCCCGGGGCCATGCGAGCTGCTGTGGGAGCCCTGGGCAGGGAGGAAGGCTCTTGGGTGGCGAATCCTGGGTTTCCGGGGTGGCTCGGCCTCCCTCCGTCTAACCCCAGGCCCAAGTGCTCAGGCTCCGCCAGGCTCAGCCCCGTCTCTGGAGCTGGACACCCTGCTCAGGGAGGGGCAGGACTCGGGGCCCCGTGGTAGCTCCTTCCAGAAGCTTCTGTGTCCCTGTTCCTCTCCCGTGTCTGGCCTTGGGCCCACCACTGGGCTCCCCACACTCCTCACATCCCCAAACTCTGGTGCATACAGGCCTGGGCAGATTCTGCAGCCCCACGTGCCAGGAGAGGCCGGCACTGCCCAGCCTGCAGACAGGGAAGTGGCTGAGTCCCTCCACTCTGGTGGCAATGGTGGCAAGAAAGGCGACATGGCAAAGTCGTGCTTAGAAAACCCTGGCTGGACCCGAAGAGAAACACAGCCAATGCCCTGGGAGGTGGGGCTGCTGTACCATTGCCCAGGGAACTGCAGAGGCCCAGGGCAACCAGAGGCATGTTGTGGGCCAATCCCTGAGAGCAAACAGCCCAGGTGTTCTCCCCATCAGGAGCCCAGGAGGCCAGAGGGATGCCTGGGGCCAGGGCAGGTGTCCAGAGCTGGGATGGGATGCCAGAAGGGAGGGCAAACTGCTCATCCAAAAAGAGGCCCAGTGCCATGCTGGACATGGACTCAGCCAGCACGGGAAGTGATCCGTGGCCTGCCCCCCAAAACCCTCAGAGCAGTTGTCCGACATGGGAAGCAGGGCAGCACCAGCCCATGACAGCCAGGAAGATTGCGGGAGGATGGGCCAAGGGGCCCGGGCAGTGGCTAGGTGCCCAGATGAGGAGGGCCCTGTCGGGCCTGGGCAGTGGCTAGGTGGCTTGGGCCAGAAGGCTGGGTGGTGGAGGGACATGGAAGGGAAAATGCGCCAAGGTCCCAGGTGGCCAGAGTTTGGGCTCATGTAACAGCTGTGGACCCGGGACATGGGGGGCATGAGGACCTGGAACATGGAGGGGCTGTGGATCCAGGACACAGGGGAGAGCTGTGGAGCAGGAATGTGGGCAGCTATAGATCTGGGATCTAGGGGGCTGTGGATTCAGGAGTGGGGGGAGCCTGTGGACCCAGGACGTGGGGGCACAGCAATGCGCAAGGTCTTGCTGGGGCATGGGGGCGGGGGTTGAAGACCTGAGGCACGGGGGAGCTATGGACCTGGAACGTGGTGGGGGCTGTGGACCCAGGACATGGGGGAGGGCTGTGGAGCAGGGATGTGGGCAGCTATAGACCTGGGATATGGGGGGCTGTGGACCTAGGAGTGGGGCACAACAATGCTCAGGGTGTCTCGCTGGGACATGGGGGGTTGTAGACCTGAGGCATGGGGAGCTGTGGACCTGGAATGTGGGGGGGCTGTGGACTCCGGAGGAGGGGGAATGTGGAGCCAGGATGTGGGGGTCTGTGGCCCTGGGATGTGGGAGGCACCAGAGGCTGGGGCTCACGCCCCTGCCCATTCAGAGATCGGAAGCAATGGCGGGCAGTGGCTAGAGCAGCTCATGGATGGCGCTAAACAGAAGTGGGGCGAGCAAGGCCTCAGAGCGGTTTCAGGGTAACACGACAGACTCACAGCCCAAACCAGCCAACCCCAATTGGAGCAAGCAACATGCTGGAGACACGAGGCCACCTGCCCATGGTGGAGGCAGGGAAACCCTGCCGGGAGAGGTCCTGCCTTAGAGGGTCTTGTGTGGTGGGGAAGCTGAGGTCAGGGAAGGAGATGGGCAGCTTCCAAGGTGGCTGTGGATCAGCTGGGGTGGGAGGGGCTGCCCTGGGTAGGCGGATAGTTTGGGAAGTCATGGGCTCGGGCTGCCCACTCATGCCTTGGACACCTCAAGCTGCTACTCAGCCTTTGCACATGCGGCCAGTGGCAGTATGGTGACCTGCC